GGACCTGCCCCCCCCCCCCCCCAGCCATCCTCCTCTCCTTCTCCTCCTATTCCTCCTCCCCAAAGCCTGCTTCTGCCTCTTCCCCAGGACAGGGCAGTCCCGGGAGGATCTCCCCCAGGGAGAGATCTGCGCTGGGAACTAACTGGGCTCGCTTCCCTCCCATCCCTCCATGATGCGCATCTCCCCGGGACGAGGGGGCTCTGGCTCATCCAGCGGCCGCCAGAAGACAGACACACACACACGTACTTGGGCGGCAAAAGGAACGGGAGGAACGAAGACCCGCACCGCGCCTGCTCCTCCTTCCGGTCGTAGGTGGAGAAAAAAAAGGAAGAGGAGGGGCCAGCGAAGCAGCCTACACGCACACACACACACCCGCGCGCAGGAAAAGGGCTTTTTGATGCCTGAAGGGCTTTTTTGGTTTTGCTAGATTCATGGCGCCATCTGGTGGTCATGCGCGAGCATCACAAGCACTGTCGCTTCTTCCCGCTTATTTTCCCAAACAGAGACACATCCCGCTCAGAACAGAACATGGCCAAAGAGCCCGAAAAACCCACAACAGCCATACGTCCCCATCTCTGCTTCCTTGGAAGAGTTCCTAAGGCAGCTTGTCTGTGTAAATTGTGTGCTCTTCACAGAACACCATTACGCTTAAGGGAATGCCTTGGGGAAGCCCAAGTAATGATGATGATGATGATAGAGAAATATTGAGGGACAGTGCTGAAGCAGCAAAATGAGGAGAGCCCGAAAAACCCACAACAGCCATACGTCCCCATCTCTGCTTCCTTGGAAGAGTTCCTAAGGCAGCTTGTCTGTGTAAATTGTGTGCTCTTCACAGAACACCATTACGCTTAAGGGAATGCCTTGGGGAAGCCCAAGTAATGATGATGATGATGATAGAGAAATATTGAGGGACAGTGCTGAAGCAGCAAAATGAGGGCTGAGAATGCTGGTGGACAAGGAATGCTAGTAGACCATGGGGCAGGAGTTGAGAAGGAGAGGAGAGGATTGGAATGGTTTTTACCTTCAAAGAGGGTTGACTAGCTAAAACCTTAGTTAGAACTTCTAACTTCTAAATTGCAAAGTTTCTTTCTAAGTCCCACTTATTTCCTTCTCCACTTTCCCCAATGTACTTGAGTGTGTGGTGCCTTATGATATCTATTGTTTTTACTGTGGTTTTAAGTGGTTTTTAACTATTATCAATGTGTGTGTGTGTTCTGTGCCATTAAGTTGGATACGCATAGTGACTCTAATAAGGTTAAGTGAGATATTTAAAGAGTGGTTTTACCGATTCCTATCCCCCCCCCCGGTGAGTTTCCATGGCTGAGTGCGGATTCAAAGCCAGGCCCCCTGAGTCTTAGTCTGTGATAATGTTGTATGAAAACCAAGCAGCAGCTTCCTGGAGTGTATGTTATAACACAAAGGGCCACCAGTGCCATTACCATCAGTCTGAACAAATACCGTCCCTTCCTCCCAAACACTGAATTTCATGCGGGGGGGGGGAGGGCGAAAATGAAGTTATTACACCTGTCTCCAGGATGGCATGCCATGTTGTGCATCACTCCACTGAATTAAATGCTCTTGCAGAAAAATTCCAGTCAGGATTATCAGAATGGAGCAGTTCTGATCTGTAGTTATTCTGTGATTCTGATACCATGTCCGTTCTGCCCCATGTTAGCTCCAGAAGTAGTCAGGAATGTGGCTGCTGGAAATCAGGCACCAGAATGTGGCTGGTAGAATTCCATAGATTTATCTAGAAGCTTATTCATTTTGCAATAACTAATTGCTGGTTTTAGTTCCTTTTTCCTTTTATGAAAAAAAAATCTCCCACAATTGCACTAACAATAAAAATATTTGTGAAAATATTTGTAGCCAGAATCCTTTGGGGAGAACGAAGGGTAACTGTGCAAGCAACCTGCCCCCATGTTGCATGGCCAGTCACAAAACCGGCTATGTTTTAGACCAAAGAAGAGATTTATCTTTCAGTGTGTAGTTTCTCCCAGCAAGATTCTTTAATATTTTGTCATGGGAGGTTTTATTGAAGACGGGAAGGAGTGGGTATGGATTTTCATTAAATCTTCATTATCTTGAGAACTGGACAAGGGCTAGCTGGTTGGAACTGAATCTTGGCAAGACAAGGGTCCTTTTGTCAGGAAGGACCCCTGATCGACTTGGTGGCACCCTGCCTGGTCGTGAAGGGGGTCAAACTCACCCTGAAGGATCAGGTGCAAACTCTTGGTATGCTGCTGGAGTCAGTTCTTTCAATCAGATCTCGGCTGTGGCCAAGTCTGCCTTTTTATCAGCTGAGATGGATAACACGCTTTCACCCCTATCTCAACAGAAAATCCCTCACAATGCTGGTTCATGCACATGTAATCTTGAAAATAGACTATTACAATCCTCTCTACATGGGATTGCCCTTGAAGATGGTTTGGAAGCTGCAGCAGGTGCAGAACACTATTGCCAGAATAGTCTCCAGAACATCTCAATATAACCATATAACTCCTGGCCTGTCTGCACTGGCTGCTTGTATGCTTCCTGGCCAAATTCAAGGTATTTATGTTAGGATTTAAAGCCCTCAACAGTTTAGGACCTTGTTACCTGTTTGAGTGCCAGTAGCAAATAGTTCCAAGTACATGCATAGGATTCTTTTGCAGATGAGAAGCAGAGATGATGGAAACTGGAGTCCAATAACTTCTGAAGGGCCACAGATTCCCATTCCTGCTCTAAAGTCTTTTCTTCAGTTGTGACACTGCATGAGGCAGGATTCAACTACTTAGAGGTGCTCAAGGAGAAGATACAAGCTCTGCACAATATGCTGTGAGTCTTTCTGTCTGCATATTGGGATATCCTATTAGAGGAGGGTTAGGGAGTGGGGAAATAGCTGTGTAGCTCTGTGTGCTCCACTTCAAAGAAATGATATCATAATCACTGGCAAATTACCACTGATTAAAGGCTTCCTTTTGTGATTTCAAGGTACACACAGCTTATACCTAATGCAATCAAGTTATGTGCAGTACATCAGATGGAAAGCTCTTTAATCTCTCTAGATTGATAGCGAAGACCAAAGTCCAGCTGAAATGCATGCAGGACTTCCTCTTCGCTGATGATGCAGCCATTGTTGCCCACTCTGTCGAAGAGCTCCAACAACTTATGAATCGTTTTAGTAAGGCCTGCCAAGACTTTGGACTAACAATCAGCCTGAAGAAAACACAAGTCACGGGCCAGTGCGTGGACTTGCCTCCCTCTTTTACCATCTCTTCATAAGAATTGGAGATTGCTCATGATCTCTGATACACACTCTCTAGATGTCGAGCTAGATAAACGCATTGGCAAGGAAGCTACCATGTTCTCTAGACTCCCAAAGAGATTATGGCTTAATAAGAAGCTGATGGCATATACCAAGATCCAGGTCTATAGAGCTTGTGTCCTGAGTACACTCCTGTACTGCAGTGAGTCCTAAACCCTTTGGGCACAGCAGGAGAAGTAGTTGAACACATTCCATATGTGTTGTCTCCGACACATTTTTGGTATCACCTGGCAGGACAAAGTTCCAAATAGAGTAGTTCTAGATAGAACGAGCTGGAATTTTTAGCATGTATACATTACTGAAACAGTGACGTCTACATTGGTTCGGGCATGTCTTGAGAATGGCTGATGGTCGGATTCCAAAAGATCTCCTTTATGGAGAATTAGTGCAGGGAAACCGCCCTAGAGGGAGACCACAGCTGCGATGCTTTAGGAATGGACCTCAACTGGATATCTATTTGACTTTGGCTTTGGCTTTAGAGTGCTTAAACATTACACGTACCAGGGCTCACTTGCCTGGTTTGCTTTTTAGCAGATCTTTCCCATACTGGGATATCCAATCTTTAGAGTTGCACAGAATGGTATAGTTCCATTTTATTAAACAAGCATCCAACCTAAATAACATAATCCTAACACCACAATAAAATATGATTACATAATACACCAGTGCCACCTTCACCCTCAGGGCTAGCATTAATAATATTTTAAAAATTCATTCAATCCATTTTCTCTCCAAAAATTCATTGTTTCCCTCTCCGAAATACATATTCCAGAAATACACTCCATATTTTCTGAAAATCATTAAATTTTTATAGGGTCTCTTCTTATTTTCATATCATGTCAATTTATCATTAATTGCCATCTCCCATAATTCTCTATACCATTCCTTTAAATTAATCTGGTTATAATTTTTCCAATTTTTTGCCAAAAAATTAACCTTGCTGCAGTAACCATTATTACAATTAAATCCTTATTTTCTTTCAACAATTGATCTTAAATAAAAAAAAAAATTTAATGTAGTTCCAAGAAAAAACAACTCTGTGGAGTCAGACACATCTCATTCTCCGAGAATTTTGGTGTCCTTCCCACATTCCATTGGGCCAGTCCAATGGAAGAGATCAACATGCACAAATGACCCCTCATCTATGTGGCATAGCAGTGTATATCCCCATGCTTACACCTTACCACTCATTGAAAGATCCTATTTATTTTGCTTCTTACATTATTGCATCTGTGGTCACCCAATGCTGTGTATACCTGGCTACCCATGAGGCCAACAGTTGGACTGAGACCCATTTCTTCATCACACCTTCAGCCATGTCTGTGCACAAAATCTTTGGACTCTAGTCAAGATAAATATTCTGTGATCCCATACTTAATGAAGGAATACTTTATTACGATGAAAGATCAGTAAAACCAAATCAACATAAAATGGATACATATAATTATAGTTTCATAAAGTCAGTCAGGGTAGTAAAATTCCATTAAAACAGGATAAAACAACCCCTTCTTTCCAGTTAATAACTTAATACTGTATAAGTAAAACCTCAGCCAGTGTTATATTAAAAGCATTATATTATCCATCTAAAATCACCTACCCAAACATCTGATTACGAATAACCATTGCTGCAGCACAGAATTTGGCCACTTGTCTCGTAATATATGGGGTATTGTCAGAGAGTAGCAACTGGACATAATCCTCCTCTGATCTCCCGGAAGATTTACAGATAATAGGTGATAAAAGCTCCATACAAAGATCCCAATAGCAAGTACAGAAAAGGAGAACATGACCAACTGATTCAAGTTTATCACTATTACAAGGGCAGAGACAATCTGATGCAGGCAAACATCGAAATCTTCCCTCCAGAAGCTTAGAAGGAAAGACATTGAGCCTAGCTAGTGTGAAAGCCCTAATGGCTTTAGATGACATAGTGCTGGCTGAATACGAGGAGGTGATAAAGGCAGATTTCTTAAGAAAGTTATATTTCCCTAAATGGCCAATATGGTCCTG